GGCTTGGGGACCGCGGGGTGGGGGTGGGGGTAGCGGAGAGGTGAGGGCAGCCGACTGGGGGTGGGGCCCAGAGGGGGCAGGGCCTGGCGTCAGCTTCCTCCCCCACCTAAGGTCACCGCAGTAAACAAAGGCCATGCTCTGCTCCGCCTAGGGTCTGGCGCAGGCCCTGACCCCTTCCGGGCTGTCCTGGTGGGCTGTTTTGAGTTGGGGAGGGGGTGTGAAAACAACCCGAATGTAGTAATGTAGTGTGCAGACAGGCAGTGTCCCAGTCAGAAACAGGGAGGTGACAGGCTGAAGGCTGAATTCTGAGAGTTCCTGTGTTGCCTGCCCCTGCCCTTTTCCACTATGGCAGCTCCGGCTAGCTGACAGACCGTGCTGTCTTGGCTGCCACCGTAGTCCAGTACTGAAGGACTGAAAGCGTTCCCTTTGAGGGAGGTCAGTGCCTGGCCCTTCAGCCTGAGGGTTGTATATACTGAGCTAGCATTTATGTTGAATACTGGGCACCTCGAAATAAACAGGTCACTGTTGGAGGAAGTGCTGTGAAAGTTCTCGTGACTTTTGACCATCAGAATTCTCAGGGTAGACTTGAAAAGACACTTAGGATTATAATCGACTGTCCTGCGTTAACCATATATGTCAAACCTAACAGTGAAAGGGCATGCACATACACACATGCAGTAAGAGCTTAAACTTGCTAGTTGGGAAATTTAAAATAAACTTTTTTTTCCTGCATTTCTTAGTGGACTTGTGAGTAAATTATTCCAAAACTCTTAAACCTGAGAACTTCCAGCTTGCCCATGGTGGTGTTGCTGTTTGGAGGTAACATGCTAGGTGCCCAGCTCCTTTCTTTTACCAGTTCCATCTATGTGACGATAAGTCAAAGGTCCTGTTCGACCATGTCTGGCTTCACTTGGAAGCATGAATGAGCTGTTTCCTCTAAGATGACCTTCCTCTTTGTAGACTGGACACTGGTTCAAGTCCATCTTGTGGGGTATCCATGGCCTTCCTGAACAAGAGGACAGGTGACTCACCACAGTTACAGGAGAGAAATGCTCCATAGTCCCCTGGAACTTAGTTGACCTTGGAGGGCAAGGAGCAAAACCTGTCCTTTAAGTCCCTCTGACCACATTAGTATAGGCCTTAAAGTATGGCTGTTAAACATTCAATAAGGTTAGTTCCACCAGCCTGGTACTTTTAATTATAATGTGCTATGTAGATAAGGCTTGGGTGAAAAACTAAATATTCTCAGAAAAACATTAACTAGGTAGATATTTTGTTCCTTAAACTAGTTGACTAAAGTATGACCATAGAAATTTAAGAGTTATGTGTATACTATTTTTGTTTCATCCTTTATATATCATAACAAACCTAAACAGACCTTCATCACTTGCTTGGGCTTTTTCATTTTTTCTATCTATTTTGGAAAATATCTCCATTCCCATATCTTTTTAACATTTTACATTCTCATTTTCTTTTTTAATAATTATGAGATATAATAACATTAACAAACAAATTTTTCAACCATTGTGAGACTTCTTTCCCTGGGGATGCTTAGCAATGCTTATCCCCTTTTAACGTTCTAGTGTCAAAACAATGTTTGATAATAGTTTTCCTGGGGAACCAATGAATTTACTGAGCTTACTTACAAAAATAATGGATGGATTGCTGAGGTGTTTGAGTGAC